ATAATAATAGAAACACAGCCATCGAACAATAGAGTGCAAACGCAGCTGCTAATTCAGGTGGTAACTAGAGCTGTCTGCTTCACAGTAATGTGTTTTATGCAGTGTTGGGCACCAGCCCGCTAAAGCGTAAATCCGCTAATAGTTTCCTGTTCTCCATGCTTTCGTTTCCCATCACAAATCAAATCCGTCATGTACCCAGAATGCATCGCTTCAGTTTTCCAATAAACCGTTTTAAAATTGCTTCCTTGATGCTTCTTTAATGAAAAATCTACAACAAACAAAAGAAAAAGACAAAGAAGCAGCTGAACTAGCAATCCTCAACAACTTTTTAAAGTATCAGCCAAACTAGCAATCCTCAACAACTTTTTAATTTTTACACCAGGAGATAAAGGTCTATTTCAGGAAATCATATTCCCAGCAAGCGGCGGTTGTAGGATTAAGCTGTAAAAGGGTTCATACACCACTAGTTGGCAGTGTTGTACATATATCGTACATGAATTGTTGCCATTAAGTGTCAAATTGAACTTGTGCTTTAAAATTAGCTTCCGCCAATTTTTCTATGGCATAAGCGCTTTTGAAGTTGCAGACCTAAATATTTTCTTAAGCGCTTTAGAAATTGCGGAGCTAATTTTTGGATTAGCGCTGCCCACCACTGGTTTTATATTTTAATATTTATGGTTCACGTAGCCTGGCCCACTCAATTCTAGTTTCCTTCACTGCTTCATCTGGGATTTCTCCCATAGACGAGGATTTCTTCAGGAGAATTTTACCCGGCCCAATCAGAGAACAGAAGGAGGAGTTTTGAACGACAACATTGATTTTCTGCGCAGTGTCTGCTTTAGCTGCGGCAGCAGAGGAAGTGAATGAAGCCAGTCGTGTTGATAAGGCTTCCAAATTAAATTAAAATTTTCTGACAAAGCAGTAGCTCTCATTTACAGTCGTCCCGTTCGGCTCCATACTTCTCTCCTCTCAGTAGGGTTGTTTACAGCACACGCGATTTCCGGTTAGCTTCTTAGCTTAGACTCCTTCACAGTGAAGCTGGTGCACATGCATCGCAGCCAACCATTGGCAATTGGGTAAATCATATCCAATCGTTTTAAATTTCAACAGAGGCCACGCCTCCAGGAAGCACTCGCTTCTCAATAGCCGAGAGTTCAGACTCTGTGTACAAAGCAAAGTGAAGAACAATGAGCTGGTTTTACCAGGGTGTTTGATGTCCTGTTGAACAGTAAAATCCATCTAAAGAACACCTGTCAGTGCATGTCGTTTGTAGTTTTTATATGTCAACCATTTTTGCTGAGAAATTTTTCTTTATTCAAATAGGTTTGTGTCTAATAAAGCAGGTGAGCAGCCTAGGCATGCTAGTCGCTAAACGCCAGCTTATCCATGCTAGTTGCTAGCCTCTCTGATGCTAACTCAAACAGTCTCCTTCTCATTGACCAGTGCCGGCCTCTCAGTTAGTGGTGCCGGCCTATCATTAATCAGATCAATAGCTGGTTTAGGGATAGATAAAGCCTCCTGCCACAAGGATGTAACCGCAATTTTGGTCCTCATCCTGCACCATTTTCTCCAGGATGTTTGTTTCATTTTGTTTTTCTTTTCAGCTACACCACCTCAGTCAAAGAGTCCTACTCTCATCCTTACGATCACGTGACCGAGGAGCCGTGCTCGGACCCTCGGACCTCCTACAGATGCACGCGCCACAGGTGGTCCCTGCATGATGACTCACTTCCTGTTCCTGACTTCCTGTTCCTGACTTCCTGTTCCCAAACCTGAACAATAAAGCTAAATGTTGACGACGTCAATCTTTCAGGATCACCTATAAAACTGCCTACAGGCAGGCGGTGAGGACGGAGTACCGCAGGAGGTACCAGTGCTGTCCAGGATACTATGAGAGCGGAGACAAATGTGTCCGTAAGTAAACACGAAGCCCTTTGTTTGTGCAGAAGTCTTCATCCACTGCTTACTGTGTCCAAGCATAAAAATATCAACAAAACCCAGCATGAACCAAAGTTGTGTCGACACATGAACTTGTCACAGAAACAAACAAACAATCCAGTTCTCAGAGCAATGAATCAGTAGAACTCACTCAGGTTTACAGATGCTGAGTTATAATTTGGTGTGGTAGTAGCTGAGGGTCATCCCTAATACATACTCTGAGAAACACTTTTCTTTCTTTTAAAATTTCGGTGAAATCATTTGGGAACCACAAATCTTGACAGTCATTTTGGCTTTTTGGGAGTTTTTTGTGATGTTTTGCCCAAAGTTGCTTTATTTTCCCAGCAAATCCAGTAAAAACCTACATTTTACTTTGTTGAATAACAGCTTTCTGTACATTTTTGTGGAAATAAATGTAGAAAAGTCTCAACAGAAATAGATGTGTCTTCCCCTGGTGTGTATAAATATTGTTAAAATGTGAATCTTCTTCTACCTCAGCTTCACAAACATCTCTGAGGATAATAAGAAGGTTTCTGTACTCTGCAACCCTCAAACCCAATATTCAGCAGAGATAATCAGCAGTTCTGGTCTCCACTGGAGCCCCCCACCCCCCACCCCCGGAACAGCAGCAGCTTCTCTGTCAGAAGGAGTTTGTTTGTCACCAAACGTAAAAGGTTTCAGTTTCATTGAAAAGCCAACAAAGATCCACTGATGTCTGTTTAAACCTGCTGGTTTCTTCCAGAAACCTGTCATCTCGTCTCCGAAGCTGTGTTTAATTATTCCAAACATGTCTAATTACATAGAATCATATCGGCCTCTTCTGAGTGATGACTTGTTAGATCCTGAAGGCTCCGTCCTCCTGCAGCCGCAGCTTAAAGGAGTAATCTGTCAAAATGTTGTTTATTGTGTTTAAATGAACCACGTGGCTCTGCTGGTACAGATTATTGTCCCTGCTGTAAAAACCTGTTTGAGTTTGAAGCCTTGGTGATGTTGATGTTTGTTAGAAGGAAGCTGTTCGTTGGCCTGAATGGCATCTGAAGGCCGCTGCTCTCAGCTGCGCAGCTGAGCCCAGCTGTCGCGCTGGCAGCTCCTGATTGTGACGAGAGAAGAACCAGCTCAGCTGAGGACGTCCTTGTTTTCATTCTCCGAGAGCAGAAACTGGAGAAACATCCCAGATTTCCATAAAACAACTCACATCATTCACCCCCTTTCAACAATCTCTGTCAGTTTGCACAACCAAATTCAGTTTGGTACTCTCAACTTATCATAAAGTACTTGAAAAAATAACGACCGTATTTATTCAAGTATAATACGTAAAATTAAATCCATAAAATTATCCATAAAGTTGGAGGGTAGTACTATACGTGGATAAATATTTTTACTTATGTATTTTAACTTAAGTATCAGCTTCATTCACAAAGTTATTGAGTCGGAAATGAGACCGCGTCATAAAAAGCAGTTGAAAGGAGCTAACCTCTGACACTCCTCCGTTCTTCAGAGCGAGATAACAACAGATCCAAGCAGGAGACATGATGTGAAAAAAGGGGGGAAAGTATTCCTGCAGCTCAGTAATGATAACAAACTAATGACATTAGCGTGTGACCGAGCCGCTCCTCGAACAACAAACACATGTTCATCTGTAATGGCTGCCATCTACCAGTGTTCTGAAAAAAGTTTGCATCCCTGAAAAAAAGTTTCCCCACCAGAGGGGGCGCTCGCAAGTAGGAAGTAATCTGCTTTTCCCCCACAAGATMGRCCAAATCTCATGTGAAGTCTCTGACTTTTGTGTTGGCGCCTCCTGGTGGACTATGTGTAAAATGCCAGAATTCATATGATGCTGCTACAGCTGATATA